TCTTGCTGCAGCATTTATGAACCCTTTCAGTCATTTTAGTCGCTATGGTGATTTGTTTGTTTCACCATCAGGAAATAGACTCGATCTTGAGTGCTTGAAGAGAAAGTAGCTGGACTCTTTGGCTCGTGATGTTTGACTAACAGCTGATGGAGACTCCCAGTATTTATCCCTGTCACCGGGGAACAGTGCTCAGACTCGCTGTAGACAGCTAAAGGTTTGTTTAATAAGCCGCCATCTTTGCTCATCACTTGTCCTTCACAGTGGACATAGACGCCCCTGTTTACTCCTCTCTCAAACCATCTTCCCAGTTTTAAATTAAAAAAATTTAGCATCTTCAAACGAGTGTCCTCTCTCCTTAAAGGTCAGATTGAGTCATTCTCTTAGATTATTTTTTAAAATTTGCAATAAAACTGAAAATACAGAGATCTTGTCTGACTTTAAAAAGCCACTGTTTGAATAATTCTTTACAAAAAGAAGTCGAACAGAGAAGACTTCCTGTTGTCATCCATGTCCCATAACTAAGAAAATATGTGTGAAACTTTGTTCCCTGAAACTGAGTTAAAATGTCATTCCCACATCACACTGTGACGATCAGGAAGGTGGAAAAAATACGGGACTGCTCCTTTAAAACTACAGGCTTCAAACGACGTGTGTGTGTCATCGGATTGTGATGACGAGACTGTACACAGTGCCATCAGATGGCAGGCTAAGAGTTGCTATGACTACCCTAGAGGTAGTGGTGGTGGGGAGGAGAGTGTGGGGGTGTGTGAGGTGGCGGCATGTGATTGGTTGTCTGGTAGGAGGGCAGCTGACTGCAGTGGGACGTGACTGAGAGCCACTTGGAGAGCGAATGCCCCCCTTTCCTGTACTGTAGGAAAACTCCACTCGGGGACAAACGGGGACATTAAAAATCTGTCCTGGAATTCGACCCAGATCTGCAGCGCAGGAGCACCAAGCTCTCTCTGCATCACTGATGATCATACAGATGATTTAGCTGTGAAATCACACAAACTTCATTTAAAAATTTTAAATGGTTCAAAAACCATTCTCACTAAAGTTCAACATACAGAACTCAGATAGTCAAAATGATCTAAACAAGTAAATATTTAATTTTCTTGTTTTATTTTTGCTCAAAAGCAGAGTGTACTTTATGTAAACAAGGTCTGGTGGCCCTAAAATGTATAATGTAGGCTAAATTTTGTGTTAATGTGTTGGTCTCAAGTAAAACTCAGGTGTAACACTGAATTGATTGACAATTTATACTTTAAAAAACACTCAAATGAAGTGGGGACATGTTTGACCCCTGAGGACCACAGGTGTATGGAAATCGGGAGGACATGAGGGTTAAACAGCACCTTTAAAAACAGAGTAAGGTGGGGCCTGAGCCTTTAAGGTCTGGACAAAAATAAAGATGAGACAGGAACAGAAAGAGAGAAGGACAAAGAAACTGTGCTGGAGTTGGTGAAGCCCCCAACCACGTATAAAGTTTTCTACATGAGGGAAAACTACTAAACGTGCATAAACACCGAACAGTAACACAGCTCACTGTT